ATTTCGTGAACGCACCGTCAGATCCAAAAGATAGGCACCTCACACCGACGTACCGTCTCTTGATGTGCCCGGTGGGAAATCCACCATCACCTGGATGAGACGACCATGCGGACACCAAGATGTAGCGATGGCGAATCACCACTACCACCCTAGTCTACGGAGTATGGCTGGGCCTCGCCAGCCGGTCCGTAGCGCAGGTTAGCACTAAGCGCCAGATCTAGACCGGACTTTGTAGGTATGTTGGTCTTCATCTTTTATCCCGAGCGCGCTCGTTTGCTGCATCCCCCGTCACTTGCTGCCGCCTCCGCCGCCCCATATTGTCGTTGCCCCACGTTATCCTCAACCCGTCTTGTTTGTTTTCAATTCGCTCACCCTCTTTCACCACATCGGCCGCCGTCTGGCTCCGCCACGGCGGCTGTTGGGCATTGCTCCGGTAAGCTTCTCTCCTTCCCACCCGGGATTGTACCAGGTCTACTTATCCGTCTGTCCCGTGCGATCTCGCTTCACCAGCACACACTCTCCTCTTCGTTATGCCCCCTGTCAGCCCACTCCCGTCGATGGTTGCTGTCACGAGTATGCTTTTGTCGTCGTCGTTCCTACACCGCAGGTGATGTATGTCATCGAGCACTCCTTTCGTATGTCACGCCGGCTTCACTGCATTGCTCGCTTGCCACGTGGCGTTGCCACTCCGGATCACGTCTCCGCGGTCGGCGGTGCTCAAGTCCCAGGGTAATAGAAAGCTGACGTGCCTTCCCTTTCCTCGGATTTGCGCTTGTCCTGGCGGGCGGGCCCTGCCGTCCGCGGGTCGCTAGGTGCTAGCGCAGATTTCTTGAGGTCAACTCCCCTGATGGGACAACACTCCACAGGCAGGCTGGTGCTCTTGAGAGTTCAAGAGCGGCTTACATCGGCCCCCTTTTTTTCTCTTTTTCTGAACGGGGTCCCTTTCCAGCAGGTGCGGTTGGACCGAAGCCTTCAATCACAGTATTTTTCCCAGCCATTTTTCTCTTGCGCGCCTTGCATGTTGCTGCAACTTTTGGGGGTCAGCAGCAAACGCTAAATGGCTGGCAGCATGGCACAAGCACCCAGCCATTTTTCTCTTGTGCGCCTTGCATGTTGCTGCAACTTTTGGGGGTCAGCAGCCAACGCTAAATGGCTGGCAGCATGGCACAAGCACCCAAAATGAGGACCGCACCGTTGCGTGTTCTTTTGGCATGCAGGGCGTTTGGAGGCCCGGGCAAAAGTGGCTCGGAAGTACAGGAGGGTTTCACA